TGAGAATACTTATGATGTGAATGAGAATATGGTTCTGTTCTCGGATCTGAGCACGTTTGTTGCAAACGTTTCGTTGCCAAGTCAGGCCACATCCGAAGTGCGGCTGTCAAGGTCTGATTTACCGAGTCTCATAAGCCTCTGTCAGATCCGAACGACTGTTGGTTGTTTCCTTGTTTGAATGTCAACCTTTGATTGGCTCACGTGGGTCGCCCAGTAGTCACATTTCCGCCCTGATGTCTAGTGCTGATTTAACCCGCAGAGCATCGTATGCACTTTCTGGCACTATGCATCAGATCCACAAGGCGGAGAAGTGATCAATTAGCAGACCCACGAGAGTAAATCGAAGACGGAGATTAGAAGCAGAAAAACGATCAACAGTAGCTCGGATCTAGCAGTGATTTACGAGACTCAGTGAATCAGACCCTGATAGTCCGACTGAGGACAGTGTTTACTGGCAACAAAATGTCTGCAGCAAAAATGCTCAGCTCGGAGAACAGAACAACCCTCTCAAGATGTCAACCTTCTTCTCCTTGTTACTACGTTACACAAATTATCAGTGAGAGCAAGAAAGAACAGCATCAATACGGGATAACCTGAATTCAGATTATTTCGTGTCTTCTCATTCAGCTGCTTACAGACAATTCGTGGAAAGAGTAAAGGAATGCAATTGAAAAACGGGGTCACCTGTACTTGCGGTAGCATGTACATTGGCCGAACCGAGAGAAGGCTATCAACTAGGATCATGGAACATGTTCCACGGAACCTGGCAAATAGTGGATCTAAACTCCCTGCCAGCTCCATCGCTCAGCATCTGCTCGATTGTACCTTGTGCGAAAACCTACGTGACGCATTCAAGGTCATCAGCAGACAAAACAACGCGAGCTTCCTTCGTTCCACAGAAGCCTCTGCCATCCGACGAATGAAACCAAGCCTTTGCAAACAGGTAGACCTTGTGGCCAGTCTTGCCTTGCCCTGGTAAGACGCAGGCAATGACCTTGAGTTTCTCATAGTTTTATTGACTTTCCTATTGATCCACTTTTTCAATTGCATTCCGTTACTCTTTCCACGAATTGTCTGTAAGCGGCTAAAAGAGAACACACGAAATAATCTGAATTCAGGTTGTCCCGTATAAACGCTGTTCTTTTTTGCTCTTTTAAAATTTCTGAAGGGAAATGGCTGCATGAAGATCTCAAAATGGTCAGAACGAACGACTAGCAGAAGACTCGTAGAAATGATGTTGCGTTTGAATGCGGTCGATTTCATCAGAGAAGAAGGTAATGCTGATGTGTGCTTATGCTGTGATAGCTCCAGGCCACCGAAACGACGGGCAGATGGTAGGAAAAAACTGAAACTCCGTAGGCAAACATGCAATGATACTAATTCGTTTTAGCAAAATGGTTCCACAAGTGAGGCGTAGGACTAACGTTTCAACCAATTAAACAATAACAAAGCCAGGTAGTGGGTGGATTCAACGACTGCGTGAGGTCACAAATGTCCATCAGATGAGCTGACCAACATGGACAGTACAGGACTCTAGGAGACTCATGGAACACATGAGGCCGAGCACATGTATGCGCTGATATTTTTGCTATGTATCATAGACTGTAAATACAAACAAGGAATTACCTCGAACAGAGCATTGTACGTGCTTATAGAGAGGTGGGTAGACGACTGACTGATCATGTTCGTCACCAGGGAGAATAAATGGTAACGATCCACCAGATTTTCCCGTTTACTATAGAGAAGAAGACACAAAAGATTGCACATGACAAAATTTTAAAAGTGCAAAGTCATGATAAAATGCTAGGTGATATTCGTATCCAGTGCTGCTTTGCACTCGTCAGGCAGATATAGCAGAAAGCAGAGAGCAGTAATAGGGGGGTTTGAATTGTAGGTGTGGAAATGCATCACAGCTACTCTCAGTCAGAGAGCCATCATATCCCCGGAGAAGCACCGTATGACTGTTTCATTCATTCAGGAATCGCCAGTCTAGATGTGATGAATATCAACTCATACCATACATATCCACACATTATTACATGATAAACATAAGGAGATCAAACTGATTATAATGCCGGAATGTAACTATCGGCTACCTTATCCTCCGCATGGCAACCAAGTGCAAATCAGAGAGCACCGAGCAGCACTATATCGCATCTTGAAACTTAGTCATGACAGTCGCAACTGTCCCTCGTAGCTCAATGGCCTTCATACCATTCGGGTCGCAGGGTTAAAACCCCATAGGCATCAGATAGAATGGGTACGGCTGACGATTCCCAAAATGATGTAACGGCCGTACTTTGTCTTTCCGAGCGAGTAATGGCCCTTCAATTGAGTCTAGGTATAATGAATTTCTGCATATGCCATAAGGGAAATTATTGAGAAAAGCTGTAGTTAGGATGTTGTTATATTGATGAGTAGTAGGGGGTTTATTGTGTATTTTTGAGGAGATTCACCGCAGCTAGACTAATGCAGACAACCACCACACATCCAGGATAGCGTTAGATGGCCGTTTCGCCCGATCGAAGCTCGTCATCAACGCGCATCCGCCGAATCCTGCTGGATTAAAGCCCGTGACGTAAGACTTACGAGCCAGCGACTTATGCCACTGGGTCATGGGTGACGGCAGCGGACCGCTATCACCGATGTCTAACTGCGATAGAACGCTGCCCATCTCCCACTGTGATGCAGGTTATGAACGTGGCGGTTCGCCGCCGTCACTCATGGCACAGTAGCATAAGTCGATGGCCGTAGGTGTTAGGTCATGGGTCCGAATCCAGTGGGATTAGGTGGGTGCGCGTTACAGATGAGTCCTAATAGGGTGAAATAGCCGTCTGACTATCACGGATGTGTGGTGGTTGAGGTTGTAGTGTTGTTCAACTGAACCGAGCATTGCGACCAAAGACGTTTCGTTGACCGACTGGGCAACGTCATTAATGGGACCGGCAGGGCATAAATGGGGTTAGATTCCCAGTTGGAGCATGAAACACGTCGTGGAGTGCCGTGCACAGCAACGAATGGTAAACGTCCCGTGACCGAATCAACCCTGTGATTCGCCTCGAAGTGAACTGCGGTCTGAATCGAGGCAGCATGTTGTAAAGCATTTTCACGCAAAGGGCATTATCATCACCGCACACGCTAGCCAGAGGTGAAAAACGCCTCTGCAATTACAAGGCGATACGAGGGAATAATATAGACGTAAGAGAAAATAGCAAAACAAGACGAATAAAACCACACTTTGACTTTATCATGTAGTGATAGTGGGATGGCGATGGGGTCGGAATGCATAAGCAAACTAGCACTACAAACGCGAATGAGGTCGGCTGTTTGCCATATCAATTAGTGTAATCAACAAGACGTGTTCTTCGTATGTAGCACCCAAGCTTGGCCCTAAGCGACGCAAGTTCATTCATTCCTATTGACTAAGTAATCGACTGGCCTTCCACCTCTTCTTACATCCGATCGCGCAAACAACGCAAATCGCGGGAGTCAAGGTGCTAGCATGCACAACACGTGGGCTAGCCATTGCAACCTGGTGCGTGATATTACGGTGTTGAGTGGTTCACTCGCTCTTCCTGCAACAAATACACGACGCCGAATACGCTCATTGCTTACGCGGTGTTTCGACCAGACATGAGCTAAATTGCGAAGGCAGCGATGGTCGAACGTAGCGTAGCTAAGCAAAAGCGCTTGGAATATTTGTTGTGCAGTCCGTAGTCTCATCTCTTAGTATACAGAAGCTGACCTAGCCGCTTAGGTATTGGAACCTCTGAACGACTTCTAAATGATCCCCATCCATGGTCAGTGCAGGGATTAGCCCCCACCAAATCTGGAGAAAAATTTGCACTTTAGAGTTCAAAACATAACCCGAAACGGCTGACGGCTAGTGACAATCTGTCCAGAGCTGTCCGAGGTGTTTGTGAGTTGTCACGTAGTATGGCAATACTGCCCAACATGATCCAAATGGAAACATAAAAAATTAAATTATACTTTCCCTCGCACCAATGCAGGTGGCGATCAATACGAATGGTCAGGGTACGATGACCCAAAAGGACGGAGCTTTGGTAAATCAGTGAGGCGCAGGTGCTGAGCCCAAGCTAAATCGCAGTTGTCAGATCCATCCAGGGGATAAAGCTGCGAGCGTAGTGTCACTTATAAGGAAGTAGCGCTCGTGTAAAAACACCCCAGTGTCCAATGAGCAAACCGAGCGAACAATTGCACGCACGGCGTAACAACGCGGGGATTAAATTACCGCGAGGACGCCTACGAGCAGATGACCAAATATCGGGTGCTGCAGCTTATCCACCACGTAGTACGTGATCAAAACGGCTGAGGCTAAGGCACAGACGATTGCAGGACCGAGATGACCATATATGTAGGTGTTTGGTTTTTAAATATAGCCGATACTCAGTGCAGCATACACGTAGTTATCAGACTCTTACATAGAAGGTGCGGTGTTACGGAGCTAGTATAGCTCTACAAAACTTGCGTAGATTCGCCGGGCTCACATATACATACAATCACGATGCGGCGATTCAGACTGTGCTAGTAACAACCGAGCAGTCCCTAGGACACAGATAAGAAGCCATAAAGTACCGAATGAGCTCTACTCAGGACACTGGTGGATCAACTGTGTACGCTGCAGTGAATCCACGGGACTTTCCGCATGACACTACCGTAGCTATGGTGTCAAGGTGCGGTGAACCATCTGAACTCTACATTTGCTATGATAGTTACTGCATAAAGCCATATTGACACTAAATGTGATTCCCTCAGGACACCATCGTTGGGCGACAGCTCATGTGCTTACCAACATCCATCTTTCTCTATAATTTATGCTGTTCTATTGAGCAATAAAATGAAGGTGTAGAACTCATGATTCGCCTTGGCTGAGTCAGTGGAGTCGTGTTGGGTTGCGCGTATTCGTCTCCAGTCTTAGCTTGCGTGTACGTATGCCGACTGGGTCTCGATAGCCTGAAACGTTACGAGCTCGATTGGCTACTGTGCACGCGTTCGGTACTATCTGTGAAGGATGTTCGTTCGTTCGGACAAAGAGTCGAAACAACTAGGATGAGTCATAACAGAAGGACAGATTGCAGAGGTGCGCATCAGTTCACTCGGAAGCTTTCGTACATAGGCTGAGGCAGGTTTGGCAGAAGAAGAAGAAGAGTCATGTATGAGGATTTGAAACCAAAAGTTAAAGAGAAAAAATGACACACAGTATTCGTGGTGCTTCATACTCCGAATAGAACTTGCCAGGGAGTTTAAGGTACGCGATTCTTCTGCCTGAGGGCTTTAAAATTAGGACCGTAAGTAAAGGTCCTCAATGGCAAACAAGCTAGTGCGATCAAAGAAACAGCGTAGGAGGCAACACTCCACAACGGAATAAAAGATGGACGATACGTGGAACAGACTCACAGTAAGCAAACTTGATGGATGTAGAATCCAAGTAGTTTCAAGGCATATATCCTATTAGCCTCGTCGTTGGAGTTGAATAACCGGAGAAGGACGCACAATCCGTTGTTGCGTATGAACGTCGGTGCGATCGAAGCTGGATTTCCAAGCGCCAAAGTAACCAAGAAGTACAATACGTCGTGTAGGTTCTCATCCTGGAATGAAATCAGACAAAACCATTATTTCATACAAGCTTTTCCCTTCAAAATTTAAACAGAGCAAGAAAAACGAATATTTCTGCAGAATATTCTGAATTCAGTATAGTTTGTGTATTCTCTTCAGCCGCTTAGATACAATGGGTGAAAATTCCAAACGATTGGGAGTAATAGGTCAATACCAGGAATCGATGGTTAGTGACGTTGTATAGCCTGTATTGCCTCACCAATGCAAAGCAAGATTGGCCACAAACTCAAGTTGTTTACATAGGTTGGACTTTAAACGCCGAAGCCTCAGCAAACCGCAGCAACGTGAGGTTGCTTCGTCCGTTGATCACCTTGAATGCTACGTGGGGATTCTGGCACATCGAGCAGCCGAATAAGTGCCGGGCAACGGAGCTGGCAGGTAACGTTGCGCTACGGAGAGCAAGGTTCCGCGGGAGGTGTTCTGAAATCCGAGTGCACAACCAATTGTTTGAAATTTTCATCCACTGTATGTAAGCGGCTGAGAAGAATACACGAAATATACTGCATTCAGAATATTCCGCAATATTCGTTGTTCTTGCTCTGTTAAAACCATTATTCTGACAAAAGGATTACGTATGGGTGTGAAGTGTTCCCTATGAAATCGAAATCGGAAAACCGAAACCTGTAGTTATATCGTAATCCGCTGGAACACGGAAGTTGATGCCGCAGTTACTAAGGAAATCAGTTACAGTGGGAAGATATTACAATGACGACATCATTTCGCACTGTTGTACCAGGAAAACGACGGGAAAAGGGGAGAATAAAGGATGCTAACAGTGAAAAAAAACAATAAATGAATGAGAAGTCGTGGACACAGGATGGGTAAAACGCCACAGAGTTGGAGTCGCTCTTGGTATTCGAAGGCCAGATCAATCAGTGCGTCTAGAATAAATATATGTACAGTGCATAGGAGGTCAAAACGCCCACACAGAAAACGATGTGAGGCCAGTAGACGCTACTTGCTACGCCCCGAGAGTAAGCAAAACCGTGGGCATGAAAGACTAGCAGCCACAGAGATCAAACCTAGGATGAATAGCAGATCTGTAGCAGGTGGAAGTTAAGGGAGGTGGAACAGCCATTAGCTCAGAGCTTGAGCACATAAGGGAAAGTGATCTGCAGGTGGTGTCCAATGCAGAATGGAGATATGGCAGTGTCAGCTCGTAACCGATAGTGATGAGCGTTGGAATTGTGACGATTCTTGTAACGTAGTAGGGATATTGATAATCCGGTGATGTCACGTCCAGTAAGGAAGAGTTGTTCCTGCCAGTTAACAGCAGTGCTCTTTGCCCTTACTGCACTTGCAATTGTGGTATGTATCGAGCTAGCCAGGAAGCACAACAATTTGAAGCGCCATAGAAAGGCATCAACAGTACGCCGGCAAACCTTACCGATACCTCGTCGCCACGCAAACAGCACTGGTCGACAATAAGTTCTATATACCGCGAAGTCGTCTGCACCTGTCGGTCGGTGGCCGAGTGGTCTGCAACCATAAGGTCCCCGGTTCGGATCCGAGTAGGGTTAGGCGTCCTCGCGGTATACTCAGCCCGCGCGCGACTGGTAGTGGTCGCGTGGCAGCGAAGCGAAGTTACGGCGTACAGCTGACACATAATTTTTCTGAACTTACGCCGAATGGAATAGGTGATGGTCAAGTCACAAGTTAAGCGTGTAATCCTATCGGCCAATAGCTGACTCTGAAACAGTAATGAGAAGAAGCAATACAGTTGAGATTCCAGTCAGTACCTTCGTGATATCAGCTGAATAACACAGGCTTCTACATAGTCCAATGTTGCGAGAAGAACTAGTGTGGTGAAAAGGACAATGATGTGGACCCACGAAGCTCAACACATAGTGAGGTGGATAAGCGAAATCTGGGAGGAAATGTGATCCCCGATCATTTGTAGGAAGATACACGGGCGAGTTGCTGAGGAGAATCAGTCGACCCAGGAGCGCACACACACGATCAGGATGATGCGTCACATGTGGAATCAAAATAAGCCCAGCACAAACACAAAATCTGCTCTGCAGTGTTTGCGATTTCATCTACTCGTTTAGAATGCGAAGAGAAGTAACGTGATGAAGAGATTTTTACAAGGCAGTCGGCATGCTACAGCCCCAGAGAACCGGTATATACGGTTGGCGGTGATACGTAGGTGCATTTATAGGAACCCGAGAGGGTAACAGTTTCGAGAAAATGCGCACGGAGCACATAATGATCCCGACGTGAAAGCACGTGTCGAACTTGTCACGTTGACGCATCTCGCGATACAAAACAATAAGAACTACAAAAAGGTGTGCGGAAACCAATGGGAAACTAGTCGTCAAAACTACAGTATTGCAAAACATATACTCTTAATGTGGCCACCGCGATGACTGAGCATGATATCACCTATCCAAATGACACACTGAGGAAAAAAAATAACCAAACGTTATATGTGAGTGGACTTAATCGATATTTAAGGCAGTGTAGAGTGAATCTCATGAGAGGAGGCAAAATACGAATGCATCCAGAATGAGTTTGCCATGCAGAACAGCGAAATGCCAGTAGTACGAGATGCGTTTAAAAAGGAAGTGAACTCTTGTCATAACATGTTATTGCTCGCTGTACAACCTTTAAAGCAGTACACCGTTTCCAATGGTGCCTCAGTATTTGGAAAGCCTCCTGGAACGCACTTACTGAGATAGCATGCAAATCCCTCGTCGTATCGTCAGGAATATTATTAAAGGTTTGGAAATGCCGTCATTTCAACGTGCTCTTATGTATGGAAAACAGGAAAGTCTACCGTGGTTAGGTTCAGGAAATAGGGAATTTGGTGTTCTGCTAGATAGTTGCGGACAAGGTGCGATGCGTGAGCCAGCGCATTGTCATACAAGTCTAGTATTCCCACAGTCCAAGGCTCTCCCTGCGCACAACATCCCGCAAACGCGCAAAAATTCCCCAGTAGATTTCCTTGTTTGCCATCTGACCATGTGTTACAAATTTCTGATGGATAATGTCTTTGTAGTCAAAAAACATCCGACATCACGTTGGCCGGCTCATGCGTGCTTTCTTGGAGGAGAATACCCTTTCCCCATCCATTGCGACAACCGCACCCTCATTCAATAACATAGCAATAAACGCCCGTGTCATCGCCTGTTATGATGTTCTTAAAGTCATTAGTAGTGGTCAGCCATTCCGTGAATTTCAACTCGATAGATATCGACACATCAGATCCGAGCACCTAGGAAAGCCTCATTACTGCGAAGGTGTAAATACCTACATTGGCGAAGACTGGTGTACATGAGTTTCACAGCTGCGCACTTACTCAATGGCTTCAATAAGTTACCACCTATTGGAATGTAAACCAAATTTCTTAGTGGTTTGCAATCTGATGTAGCTGGTTAAATGTATGTAACGCCTAACGCAGCACTGTTAGATAAAAATGTTTGCAGATCACGTTGCCTCGGAATGGCAACCGATATTAGAATGTTACCTCTGCATCATCGCTGGTGAGACAGTCTTCATTAACATGCTGGGTCTAAACAAGTTGGTTGAATTCCCCCAAAGACTCGACGAAGATATAGATTTAGTTTTCACTGACGAACATAATGTTTTCCACACAATTGGTAATTCGACCGTTGCATGGTGAGGATATGCCCAAAGAATTACTGTAAGACCAATTACGCTGCGATGAGAAAAAGGCTATTGAGAACTGTTAGGCGGTGAAACTGTTCAACGGAAAAGATTACAAAACTCAAATCGAAGCTTTATCCAACTGATTTTCGCAAATGAGGATCTGTTAGCTCAATGCGAACATCTCACAGATTACAACAATTGCTGTTTCAATCTTTAGTTGAAAAGCACGGTAAGAAGATGAAAGTTGGTACATGCATGGATTTCGTATTGCCCATTGATGTCTTCTGTCTTCGGATCGATAGATCTTCATCACCTTTACTCATTTAAGTTCGTAGGAAAAAAGAAAAAGTTTACAAATACAAGCTAACAACCAGTATCAAACGTCTGTCAGTGGATACAAAAGTCGAGATAAAAGGTCAAACAGCCTATGCATCGAAGCCATTTTAGGAAAGCACAGTTGTTGTGACCTATGGGGGCTCTTGAGGCAGTCCACCGACAAATATTCCATTGACCCACCCGGTTCTGTGGATGTGGAGAAAGCTGAATTTAGCTCATCACAACGTTCACCCTACCTTCCTTGCCCATCGACAATCCTACCACCCTACTTGACTAGATCAGTGTTTACAAGGTACTCACAAGACTGAAGCGAAACAAGGCAAGTCGTCCTGATTCCCTGTCTGCAATCGCTTTGAGTGTGCGAATGCACTGTAGTCATGTCTAACCGAGATTTTCAACCGATGTTTAACGACTGGCACTAGCTTGACATTTGGAAAGTAGCCAGAACAACACCTGTGTTTAAGAATGAAGCACAGAAGTATCGGGCAAAGTGTGCCCCTTCGTGGTGCTGAGGTGATAGAAAAACTACCGATTCCCCCAATCTTTACAAGCAATCATAAGATTAATAGCAAACAGTTCACAAACAAGGAAATAGCGCTCCACATCGGATGCCGTTTCGTATCTTGTGCCATACAGAGCATCTGCATTGGATATAAAATACAGGACTGTGCGGCTGCGGTTTCTTGTTTAAACTAATGCCTTAGGAAGCCTTGACAGATCGTCACTGTTAAAGTAGTGTACGAAAACGACGCTCCCAAACGCACGTAATGTAATGCGCGGCAATTTTCCCAATGGCACACACTTCACAAAGTTATGTGGTATACCTTGCGTAATTCCATACAACTGTGGGATCTTACAATGATCAATTATATCCCACTTTCTGTTCTCACTCTATGTTGAGTATCTGTCAATACCAACTAGTATCATCAAGTGTAAATACGTTGACATCGTCTTAGGTTGTACAACCCCAATATTTGAGTAAACATCGAAACCACAACGAGGATTGGACGAATTCTTGACTTGTCAAGCTCCTGCACTCTCTGCCTTAACCCTTCCAAGTTGTGAGATATTACATTTGTTTTTCTCCGCACCTACAGGCAGCGTACATTTCCAAACGCCTTTTCTCCTTTGGTCGTGAATGACCAAAGCATCACTCATTTTTATTCCGCAAAGTATCTCGGTGGTTTCGTACCCTACAATATATCATTGTCCACAAAAATATTGAAAATTTTCATAAAGTCAGAAGACTTCCATTTTATTCCCTTAGGATCAAAGTGATCTGTATTGCGTGCTCTAAACCAAACGTTTGTAAATGCATGTATTCTCTCCCACTGGCTGTATTGTTCCCGTTATTTTCCCTGAACTTCTTTCATGGGCGATCAATCAAATTAAGTACGCCCGGAAGCCCCTGTCGATTTTGTGGTCAGCAAGCATTCTGCATGCTAGCGTTCAATGTTTCCGCTCCTCTTATTCCCTAGGTAGGGTTTTTCATCACTATCGCCTCTCAGATGAGAATTACCGAAAAGAAATCTTTATTCAGATTCTGCATCCCTTGATTAATATCACTAAATGGGAATGTTCGGATTGCTTAAGATCAGCACTCCACGTGATTCAGTATAGCATATGGTTGAGACTCACATGAAATCGCAGAGCGTCACTCCAGACACATGGAAAAACCAACATGACATCGAGCAATGAGGCCCAGTACATTGACTTCTATTTGGAGCCCTCCATCCTCCCTCAAATTGGCATGTCTCAATGTACGCCCATCAATACAGATCGGTAAACAGACAGTACCTGCCCGAACATGAGAGACCCAGTCGATCGATATCCGCCGCCTACCGGAAACCCGCTTGCAGACTCAAGCTCCGTGCTCCCTCTACAAGCCCTTTCAGAATACATTAGCAGTGTTTTCTCATTGCACCTATCCGGAGACGATGCAGCTTCGAGTACCAGCCAAGCCGCGTTGGTATTGCCCTGAGACCCCGAGGATGAAGCTGCTCCGGCTGATTGGATCTCAAACAGTAGCCGGATGTGTGCGGTCAGACTGGCTGGCTCCTACAGAGCTTGAAAATCGCGCGGGGCTAACAGGTGTCAGTTTAGCATCGTTGCCCACGCCCCCGCAAACTCTAGCGATGAACCGACAAAAGACGAGTTTTACCATCAACTGAACGAGCTACTTCGTCAAAGAAGAAGCATAGACACGGTAGTGCTGGACAGGAAGCTGAACGCCAAAGTTGGGAAAGTGTCCACTGATGAGCTGCGTCTGAGCGGCCAACACAGTGTAGGCTCCCCAAATGATAACGGTGATGGATTGCTTCATTTATGTGAAGATGTTCGCTTATTTCTTGCGAGCACTAGCTTCCGACACAGCACTCGCCGGAATGTGACATAGCGCCCATCAGCCTCAGACCAGCCATGGACGCAAAACGATCACATTGCGGTCAGTTACCGCTGGAGAGGTTGCATACAAGACGGTCGCTCGATTTGGAGCACGTGTAAGCACTCACCATACTCTTGTACGTGCTGATCTGCGGGCGACCTCGACGACCCTGTGAGCGCACAGACACCAGCCAAGTGGCGAAGCCAGATGTTCTGAATGTCAATCAAAGTACGCTGGCATTTGGATTGAGCAAGCGCTCACTGAACACGGTTGAAAGCCACTGATCGCATGTACAATAGACCTTAGTGACAGCAGGCAAATCATGTAGTAAGTCCAAAAGTTTACATGAACAATGGGTATCTTCGCATTTGCTGGAAGTTAGTGACGTCCGATGGCGCATTTCTCATGGAAGTAAACATAATGAGACTCGCAAAAACCTCCGGGCAAGAAACCCTGCTAGCCTAAAGAGAGACCGTAAAGCGTGGTGGTCCCCTCGTACGTCAGAGATAGAAGTGGCCGCTGCCTTTGGCAAGCATTGGATATTATTCCGTCGGATACGGGAAACCGCGAGCAGGAGATCTGGTGTTAGTGAAAATATATGTGACGAGAGTGGACAGCCTATCCACTTGTCAAAACTCCTTGGCTGTTGGACCGAGCACTTAGAAAGCCAATTTAATCAACCGGAATTTTCTGATTCCTCACAGGCAAAGGATCGCCCTGCTCACTGGGCTGTCCCTTTGGATCCGCCCACTCGCTCAGAAGTCGAACGTGAGATCAGACTACTAAAGTTGAATAAAGTCAGGGGACAAGATGATCTTCATCCAGCCCTCTTCAAATTCGGTGTTCCTGCTCTTCATGACAATATACACAAGATACTAGTGTTACTATGAGAGAAGGAAACTGTCCCAACCGACTGGAACCGCTCCGTTATGGTTCCGATGTTCAAGGGACGCTCACGTTTGGAATGCGGAAACCTTAGAGAAATCAGTCTTTTTCCCATCGCCTCCAAATTGATTGTCTCTGGGATCCTTCACGGATTGACCAGCACTCGTGAAGGCCAGATTTGCAGGCAGCAAGCTCGGTATCGTCGAGGTCGGGGTTGCATCGATCACACATTCACCATGCATTATTTGTTGGAGCCCCGTCACATATATTGGCAGCCCACCGCAGTCGTCTTCCTCGACATTAAAGGCACCTTCGATTCGGTAGATCGATGTGCCCCTTGACAATCCCTGCTAAAGAATGGTGTGGCCCAGAAATACCTAAATATTATCCGAGCGTTATGTGCGAGTAGCTCGAACAGAGTGAGGGCTTATGGCAAGCTGATGCCTTCCTTCAATATCTCCAGCGGAGTTACGAAAGGATTTCCGCTGTCACTTATCCTTTTCAACTTCGCTATTGACGAAGTCAAGGAGATTGCATTCATAGGACACAACTTAGAAGATGTGGAACCGGTCCCAGATGAACCACTTCTTGACTTGGAGTACGCTGACGACATTGTCCTTATCTGTTACAGCAAACGAATGTGCCAAACAGCACTATAGAGGTTAGCACTGGCTGTCAACAGTTTCGAGTTATGCTTCGCTCCCTCGAAATGCAAAGTTTTCTCCTGAGATTGGCAAAGAGTGCTTCCTGTGCTGACCATTGCTGGAGATCAGCTAGAAGTCGTACAAAGATTCAACTACTTCGGCAGTTGTAACAGCACCGTTGGGGTTGAAGAGGAGACCACAAAAGCGCGGGGCACTTTGGCTAACGTTCGCCACCTATGGCGCCAGCGCGACATCACTCATCTTTGAAGGGTTGAGTGTACAATGCAGCTGTACGTCTGAACCTGCTGTACGGTTGTGAAACCTGGCCGATACAAAAAAGGCTAGTTACGTTCGACAACCGGTGCATTTGCAATCTGACTCATATCTGGTGGAAACACGATGAGAGCAGTGAGCGCGTTCGACTCCTCATTTTTGGCACAGGAAGAGGAAACGAAGCGCTCAGCACCGTTATTTCACGCAGCATGCTCCAACGGCTAGGCTACGTGTTGCGCATACAAAACGACTCCCACCCGCTACACAGTTTTAGCAAGTACGGCATCTATTTCTTCCAAGCAGGCAAAATATTAAGATTTATTTTCCCGTATCGCAACTCGACAGTGCCTTTTTTGTCATGCTTGTTAGTCGATCCAAAAGTGATGGTGCAACAAGTACGAGAATGTTTGCTTATTTGCAAATGACCAGTTTTATTACCCGTGTCATTTCACATTATTTTCTCACCGGTTCTATGTTGTAGTGTGTCTTTAGTGTTAGATTAAATTGCTGAAAATGCTTCCACACGGTTGAATAAAGCTTATCCTGACTTGAGTTTACTTGACTATACGGCAAAAGGATTTCGCACTGAAACGACGTATTTCAAATTTATAACACAAATTTGATCGCATGATCGTACAATGATGCCCGTTTCGTCAGGAACTTTTCGGACAGCCGAACGCCGATTTTCACGGACCACAGCACGGATTCTTTGAGATGGTCATGGTCTATTTGGGTCGAAGGTCATCCAGGCTTACGATCGTCACCGACTGAAATACTGTTGTGTTTGGAACACCAAAACACCTGATGGCACAATGTGCGACTAGTACGTTCCTCGACGTATGTTTGGACAAACGATAATCGGTCTGCAAAAATTCCGCCAAGTTTGTAGCAAAAGTTCAAACACCCGCGGTGTCTTTCAGGCTCCTTCATTGCCACTGTGACACCGGGATGACGATCAGCTTGTGCACGGGCTCAGTTCAGTGGCTGTAGCCCGCCAACCAACAGACAGACCGAGACGCGGCGCATAACTGTTTGTTGTGCACACAAGCGGTAAGTAGCCGCAGCGCGCCCCCTTTGCAAATTGGCAGCAACTCAAACGTTCGCTTTCCATTGGAACACAGTAGAAAGTGGCGCGGTGTCCTATTAACTGGGGCAAACAGAAAATGCGTTCGATGCCATCACGTCAGCAGTATGTGCTGTTGGTTGAACTGTGGTACATGAGTCCAGTCAGATAGACTACTCAGGGAGACTGCTTACGCAAAAAAGGTGAAGTTGAAAAAGACATCCGCAAATCAATGAGAATACGGCAAAAGTGGAAAAGGAACTTGCTTCGTGAACACTCAACAAATAGTTCAACAGGGCTTGCATCTCGGTGTCCAAAAATGGTCCATGACGAATCATGAGCTGTTTCAGGTAGATGAGAAAATTCGCTCGGAGCTTCAACACTTCAATGGAGTTTGATAAAGGCCGTTTGTCTGAACAAACAGAAAAGCAGACAAACAAGTGAAGTGCAGCCCCGAGGGAACTATTTCATAAAAACAGGAACTAAGTGGTACAAATGTTTGAGCAAATTTGAGAGTACATGGACAACACAAGGGTCTTAGACCAAATGTGAGAGGCGTTCTAGCACAAACAGATAAATAAATAACGTTTAAACCCAAGTTGCGTGAGGCCCGCCTGGGTAGGCACGATCAGTTAAGTGCAAAATTATCCATGCATGGAACACACATTGATCAGTTGCGTTAAAAAAACAGATGAACATCTATCAGATAGCCTGATAATGTGTCGATAAACACTTAAAGAAATGGGTGTGTCCACACTGAATAAGTTCGTGGAGTACTCGAAAGAAATCCGAACTAGCGAGTTGGAGTAAACAAAACTGGATTGCAATTCAAGAAATGCGTTTCAAAAAGGGAAGTGCATTTACGGCAATTACTTGTGCGCTACAGTAACAAATGCGTAGATTGCGCGGGGAGGCGAGAGACTGTTATTGGAAATAGGGATAAATGATTATTACGGTTACGATCACGCTAAGGAATAAAAGTAAAGTGCATCCAGTATCGAATATGTCGTTAAGGCATTCTGAGACGCATGATTTCCCATGGGGCTGTATTTTGTGTAACAGCTTCATTCACTGGCTACATATTCCTTGACATATCTTGGAAGAACTTATTTGGTTATTTGTGGGATGAAAACATGGTCCTCATCGTTTCCCGGTCCAAGAAATTTCTAGGCTTAATACGGAACGTTCTTGCATTCGTTCAAGTGCCTGGTCGGCTATTCCAAACGACAGCGTATCTGACGAGGAAAATGATGGATCGCATAGGTGACCCGGTCCTTCGCACAACTACTTTATAAGCCCTGGTGCAAAGCCTCCATGTGAATTTATGGTGCAATTCTACTGTGCACAGAGTAAAGTATGTATTTTAGTTTATGAGGTTGTGCATGTGTGCCAAGTAATGTCGCGATCAGCGCAATCAAAGAGGCTCAAGGTTAAGCTGCTGGCAACGCTCCTGATAACCCAAGGTGGACGATCTACTGAAGGATCTACGGAGATCTTCCATGGCTTTTGTCACCCATCCGCAGATTTCCATAAAGTATGCTGCAGTGTTCACGGACGGAAAGTTCGATTTTGGCAATGTGCTGAACAGTTTTTTTGTTGCAGACTGGAGAGGTTGTTCAGCAAATTTTATCAGAACGCGGATCTAGCGTGGCAGTTGATGGCGGAATCTTGCGGTATCCGCAATGGAGATTCAGGTCGAATGTTGAATTCGTGAACAACGGACCCCCCTGCGGCAACATTTAGTTATTGTAGCTATCCACCGACACTTGTTCGTTCACTCATTCCGCAAACTAGCTAGGACTAAACTCAGATTTATCAATCACCTTGTAGTAACATCGACGAATTCCGAAGCCAAAGCCATACAGGCTAACAAGCTGGAACAGTGTGATTAATGGAACAAAAATAAAAGTAGGACGACGCGGTCGGCCGATAATTGCGAGTTTAATACCAACTAACTGTCGGAGTAAGTTCAGTTCAGATGAATTTAGCCTATACCATCTGAACCCCAAACCGATCCCCTGGGCTTACAAAAGTGGCAACTGTTGAATAAAAGAGCGAGATTGCCTCGTATCGCCAAATATTTGCCTTCAACGCTGTATGTACTTGGCCGGAAGTCTGTGAAGCAAAGGCGAGCAATCAGAATGGAATGAAGGGGCGTAATACTGTGGAACGGGGCGACTGCAAGTAGCAAAGGAGGACCAGTACATGCTCGCTTGTTGTAACATTATGAAGAAGCTAAAGAAATCTAACTGCCCTGCGCATATCAACATTAAGCGCGAATCGCACAAGTATATGTAAAGGAATGGTTTGATTCTACCAAAGCACTCCGCGAAACATTTTCGTGACATGGAGTTGTGATATACATTTATCGCAACTTGCAAATTCGACCGTCAACGTGTTCTAAAGACAACTAAGGAAGGGCGATCAGGTGTAGGAAAAAAGTATGCGAACTGGGTGCAATGCTAAGTTTAGGAAAGTCGAAGAATCTTCTTCTTCGTCAGACTAGTCACCTATCTCATGAAAAGATAGGTAGAAATATTCGATTCTCTAAATCCTATGCGAACCTGATGATAAACAAACTAGCTACTCGTAATGTTTCACACAAAACTTACATCAAAAGTGAATAAGAGTAAACAAAATGTCCAAAGGGACAGATGACAGGACGTGAAGACCGAAACGTCAGCTGCAGGAAATGGCAAACTTGTGAATCAGCGCGTCCCAAAACAGCCGCACCACCTGCTAAAATTAGTAATATAAAACCGCCATCTGTTGAGGGATTGTTTTAACCGAGGTACTCAGGTTACCCTATTTGGAGGCAGAAGCTCCTCGCTCCTAATCAAAAACAACGGGGTTCTTCTGGAACCAATTCTGTCACCATTTCTGTTTTCCAATTAGGTTGGCTCAATACCAGTCTCAGGAAAGGCAACCCTGCTGTAATACGCAGATGACATTGTCCTTGGAATGTATCAATCGATGACTGCTTCTTCAGTCAAACTGCAAAAAATTCTTAAGGATCTTACGTTTTGGTCAAAGACCCGCGAGCTGCCGCTCAATATGTGAAAGTGCAATGCAAAGCTTCTCCATCAATGCCCGAAACACAACATCGATGGCAGAGGTTGCAATCTTCCACATCGGTAAAGTACTTGTCATGCTTAGCTATCATTTTTCTCAGTTACATTATATAAAAGAAACGTTCACAAAGGTCCGGTGGTTATCGTTCTACGCCTAAAACTTGCGAACTTCCTCGGTAGCACACGCTTCGCTTTGTCGTAACTTGTGTTCTTCCACACTAGAAGTATTGCTCACCAGTAATTTTTCCTGGCCTACTGGGCAAGGACTTTAGATTAATATGCAGGTCGTTCAAGCACATAGCGTGAGGCAACCGTGTATAGAAGCTGAGGTTCATTGATATGCTTGTATGCACTCAGGTTGATTCGCGGAAAAGAGTAGTATCACCAGTACTTGCCGACACAAGTCACCCCCACCATTGTGTATTGTCAGAATGTGTGTCCACCTCGTCAACCAGACCGAAGTACAAATCCATAGATGCAAGTATACAAGTGTACCGCCCGTAAATGATCCCATATCTAACGCGATTTCTTCTAGACCAAAACAAAGTTGGCCAAGAATTAACACACCGGTTTGTGCTATGATGGTATTATTCTTTATCAAGCACTGATCCACATGTGCTAATTTCATATTGTTTGGCTAAAAATGTATTAGGGCTGAATATTTTTGGCATTACTTTTAGAAATATTTATTTTACGGGAACTACCTAGAAAAAGAGGGTATAGAACAAGAAACCTGTAGGGAGTACAGCAATGTTTCCATTTCGAGACACCGAAGAGAGAGTAACACGCGTAGTATCTATCGTCCAACAGTCAAGTTAAAAAGCGTGTAGACGGGTGTGACTGAGCAAATACGACCAAAGAGTAACCTACCGGGGGTCTTCAAGTGGAACCCGCTACGCTCCACAGGGTCAACGAGTGCGTAGTAATACTTTAAGTTGTAGACACACTGAAGCACAGTGCTGGTACGGTTGACACACCCGTGACGAATCATGGCTGAGAAGAACTCTGTGGCCAGAAATTGGTACAACTGATCTTGCACCTAGATGAGCGAAGAGGAGTGCGGAGACGGTTATTAGACAAGAAAAAAGTGGAAAGATAAACACTACGTGCAGACAATGTGAGACACAGCACTGTGCGTTCGGTATTCATTGAATCCATGCCGAATGTAAGTAAAAGGCGGTGGCAGGTGAAGAGGATGCTAAACAGAGGTTTCATGCTAACGGCACACAGTATAAGCATTTTGCCTCCAGAACGTTAACTATGCATCTTGTGTATCAACTGAACTACGAGATTCCCAACCAGGTCACAATATAATCTTTGTAGCTGAAGTATGAACGCTTAATACAAGGGTTGATCAATGAGAATAAGATGAAGCAATGAACATCAGAAGCTGGAGTGATAGATGCTGACATCTATCCAAGCAGTTGTCTGCTGCCAGTATTCGCGGCGAAACCCCTAGCCCTCGTACCCAAATGGTGTCACTTAGGCAGATGACCAAACATCTGCAATCCAACCACCCAGCTCAGTCAGAAAATTGACAATTGAACAGCAAACCCGACCTAGCAGTATAATGAGTGAACTGTAATAACCAGCACAACATCAGGCCTTATCCGTTAAACAGCGAATGAGAACGTCGAAGTAAAATATACAAGGATGAGATGACACGCTCCAAGGTAGCACGAATGTGATGAGCCGTGCGAAGGAAAATGGCGTGTGAGTGGGCATAATTATTGATGATAATCTTGGGCGTGAAGAGAGGCGTGCGAGGTTGGGTGCTAAGAGGAGGATCAAGCCCTTGCAGCACGGCGAACTGAGTCTATCGCAGCACACGCAATACCAGCAGGGTTTGGGTATGATCGTGTAAAATCCAATTTAGAGACAAAGTGGCTTCGGAGGTTTGCGGACGAGTCAGTTTGGACACTAACGAGAAGTGATAAACCTTGAGGCAAGAGGTACAAATTGGAGAAGAAATGGATAGGCAGTAACAATCGAGCCAGCAACCGGCTTGCTCACGGCTCAGAGACATGTCCAGTGACCATCTGAAGGAACACGTTGGCAGTAACCTAACTGCCACCACGGACTATGAGTCTAAAGAGGGCGGAAGTGAGCGGGAATAGACCATAAATAGTAGTAGACAGACACTTCGTACCGACACTTTTCTACCACGCGAATAGCCAAGTAGTCGGATGTGGGTCCATGACACTGCGAGACTGTCCGCACATATCCAGACCGGAACGGGTTGTAAGAACCCGATATGCGGACGAAATTGTTTATTGTACTAAAGAACATTACTAGATCCATCAGTCCTGACCAAAGAAACTTCAGCTCATCTACGCGTTCGCTGTTAGAGGTTGTATGGTGAGCGTTGCTTCGGTATCTAGTGGCCAAGTGGCGTACAGTACGCACGTGCCTAAGCCCCGCCCGCAAACCTCTGCGGCTCCCAAATGTTGCATTCTTTTCGTGAAGTCAATATGGCATGCTGTTGGTTCATAGCCGTTTGCCTACCCGGCACTTCCACACTACTGATAACTGGTACAGTAGTGGCCGAATAGAGTCCACCACAGAGTGACCCGTAGACTACAAGACAGATGCCAGTGTCCAGTGGCGTTGCACAGGGAGGGGGAGTGGGGTTGTTCGCCCCAGGCGAGAGCCGCAGATGTTTGCGAGCGGGGCTTAGAGAGAAAGAGAGGTAGAGTAAGAGAGATTTGCCTCTGTCTAGCTATATCTAATAATCTTCAAGCAAATCTACCTATTATTGGAGTGATTATCCTCGAAATCTCAAGTCGGCAAAGTGCGGGTCCAGATAAGCTGAGTGGTGTATATTACTGTGTTATTCGGAGTGACCAACAACACATTTGCGCCACTTGGCACACCTGTGCAAACGTTTTCCTAGTGATCCCTTACTTTTACAATGGTGGTCACTTTCACCACATTTACTTCAATGTCCCAAACGATCATCTATTTCATCGAAAACTAAGGTGCACGTTATGCTGAGCCGATTCTGTGACCTTCACGCGCCTATTCTGCACTCAGACAAAGCGAAAATTTTGCCACTGTCCAAAGCGTCAAAAGTAGTTGCAACACCACTGCCAGTACTACTCGAGCAGGAGCATAAGTTATCTACTTGCGCAACGCTGTTTTCCGACGGAAACAGTGCAGTGGTCCCATGGCACAGAGGACAAATTAAACTAAAACAATGTGCTCCACAAGCGGTATCGAACCTAGCTGAGCACATCGGCAGTACGCATGCACGCAATACTGAGGCTTCGCTGTCGCGCAACCATCAGCAGTCACGTACGCTTGAAACCGCGGTCCCCGAGTTGCGAGACAGACGCCTCGTCGTTTCGGCGAAGATAGCAGGCACTCGAACGCAGGGACACTAGGGTAGTAGTAGTAGTGGAAGCTTATACTTCAATATTAATCTGCTACAGGTGAAGTACCAGCGACCGAATCGTCCAAAGTCTACTTCGAAGTGCATCGCGTTCTACACAGAGATTGCGCGTCGTGGTCCATTCTTATAAAACGAGTGTTTCAAAATGATCCCTTCAGTCTGTCATTAACCATTGGGACAAGCATTGATCACCGCGGATCGACCGCTGAGACTGTGGCGGACATCTCAAAGGCCCCAAGTGGGAATGTAGTCCAGTTTTCTCTACCTGGTGAGATGAAATGAAGTCGAAAGCCGTAGCAGTGTTTTCAAACGGGGGGACGCAATGCGCAACATACATTTGTTTAATCAGTTACGGTCACCATAATCGAATCGACTAACGTTCACTTCAATGCGAATCGCGGCCCACATTAAGACTGCGCACCGCAATGCGTTCACACAATAAGTGCTTCCAAATGACCAGTCCAATTAGTCACTAACCGTTGTGATGAGCGTTGACCATCAAGACCCATGGCTAAAGGAGTAGAATTCTGGTCTCGGGTTCGAAGCATGTTATTCCTACCAGAAGTGATCAAACTGGTACGAAATCGGTGGTCGAGTAGACAACACCCGTCATCCATCTTCAACGTCAATTACGGCCTCAAGGGTCACTTCAATGCGAATCGCGATCCATATAGAGATTGCGTCTGGCAATCCATTCACACAACAAAGCTTCAAAATAATCTCTCCTTATCAGTAAAAGAACAAGGCCAAAGGGTCTGTGAGACTGTGTTTGAACATCCAATCTGTGTGGAACAAAAGGCACCATAAACGCATCCGAGTACAGTGAGATGCTGGTGGATATAATGCTCAGAAAAGCCGTCAATAAAACATGCGCACAAACTTGATCAGTAAGAGCACAGTGTGCATAAAATGTACGGTATCAAATAGGCTTGAAGCAACTCACCTCGAGCGGAGCTCGAATCCACAAGTCAGGGTTGGAGAAGAGATAGCCGTAAACATGTCTCAGTAGCGGATACACAAAAGAGCAATGCATCTGGGCCCCAGATTCATAGGTGTCCAAGTGGGACAAGTCGGCGACAGAAATCAATTCGCGAGCCACATCAATCAGGCAATTGAGCAACGCGGTGGTCAAGTGAGCAGAGCAAGCTGCGCTCTGAAGCGCCGTGGCAAACAACTGCAATCCTTTGGTCTGAACGAGTTGACGGCCAAGTGACGGTGAAGTTCGAGCGACAGTGAGCATCAAATTCAGTAACAGAATTCTACCAAGGATGGAAAAAAGTGAAATCGTAGATGGGGAGAGAGAAATCCACGCAAGATGCGTTAGGGTATTACTCCATGACACGGACATGTGCCCGCAAGCGAGCACATTGCGAATGCTACCCATTTGGCACGGGTGAGGATGAGTACGGATGTATCAGCATGTATAAAACTGATGGTCAAGTGTTGATGTGCGCTCGCGCCGACTTTGACCAACTCTCATGCAGCTGAGCGATGGAGACAGTGAAATGAGCAGTTCGCATTAAAGCAGCTTGCTTCATGAGTGAAGCGAGAGTAGATAGTAAAGTGAATCGGTAGACTGCACATGATGTGCACCGCAAGCTATTGGCCCAGGTGATGTATGCCGTAAACCAGGCGGAAGAAACCACAAGATAGCCAATCCATGGCATAGCAAAGAATTATGAAGAGAACGAAACGATTGCGGTTTGTCGGTGCGTGCAATGCTGGGTGTAGGGATCACTTTTTCGACATGATATATATATATATATATATATATATATATATATATATATATATATAAGACTTGCCCAATAACCATTTGGTAGAATGTCACAACACATGAGTAACAATAACAAAAAGGAGGAAGTGAGAGTCAACTGAATGGATGGAAAGTTCTCGTGGCAGAGCTGTACGCTATCGGGCGCGTCCCCAGGTTGCGGATCAGGGAATGCCTTCCTTGTGGAAGTAACTGCGAACAAGCCGCGTTTGCCTTGCAGGCGAGATGAATAAGCAGTCGCGGGCAATCAGCGGCAGCGTCTCAGAGCGTGAGGAGTTCTGGGCTGGTCACCTGGTTCTCTATTAAATACCATAAGTGCTCGTACGGCGCTGCGTCAAAGCCAATGCGACCGGCTATAGGGTCAATGACTACACTCCTGTAACTGGGGGTGAGTGTCCAACGGAGGGCGGATGAACAACCTCGCTGGCCAGCGGGTTCTCTGTAGACTGCTTCTGAACACAAAGAAGGCAAATGAGCCATTTGGCTGTATAAACTGGATTTCTGTATCCCGTCGACCCCATATAGCTACACACGAGTAAGCGTTGCCCATGCTATTTTTTATTATTCTTCTCGCCTATTACGTGATCAACAACCACTCCCCTTATGACTTTGTGTGCGCACATTCTAATTTCAAACCCTTTATATGGTAGTGCAGTTAAATCAGTAATCGCCCGAACCGACGATTCCATTATCCCTTGACCTATCGTTTCTCACTCTAACCATCCTACGGGACATGTCAAGCACCTACTTTTTACCCGTTATAAATAATCGTTCATTGTTCATTAAGGACCAAAGGCTCGGTGTGGGGTCCCTTAAGTCAACCCTCTTCCACGGCCTGCGTAACCGGGAAGCTTAATACCCACACAGCATATGGAACTCCACTTCTCGATATGAAGTAATCGCGAACTCAGCAGTTCTGCAGCTGGTATCCTACCTTGCACTGAAAGTCGTAACTGGAGAACACAATCTTTCGATTTGTTTATCAATGAACGCAGTGCATCACTCGGATGATGAGGAGCAGAGAAGTTAGAGATCCACTCTAACTCGA